TGAAGAAGAAATCAAGAAGACACAGAAAAATAGCAAAGAATATTATGACAACAGGCACAAAGAAGCCAAAAAATATCAAAAAGGAGACTATGTTGTTATCAAGAATTTTGACACAACCCCAAATGTTAACAAGAAGCTGATACCCAAATTTAAAGGTCCCTATGTTGTGAAGAAAGTTTTGTCAAATGACAGATATATTGTCATAGATACTCCAGATTTTCAAGTAACACAGACTCCATATGAAGGTACAATAGATGCAGATCATATGAAATTATGGTCGAAGGCTGAATCTGAATGATAAATATTTCCCTTAGTACCTACTTACCATTATACTATACCTTATTTTACTTACCTTATTTTGTCCTATTGTTTTCCCATCTTTGACCTTAAATTTGTAATTTCTATTTTGATTCGAAGTTATTTTCTTATGAAAATATTAGCTATTAGGTTTTGATAGCATAAAATATTATTTTTCTTTTGTACTCATTAATATTCAGTACCATGAAGAAGTTTTGTTTCTATTTTATGATTAGAACTAATTTGATTTTATTTTTGAAGCTATTGTATGAGAATTTATGAAAATTTTTGATTATGATTTATGTGATTTTGAATTTACACTATTTCAGTGTTTTTGTACTGCAAATTTGATTATGTTATGAATATGTCAACTTCTTATGATTTTTATGTGATTTATGATTTATGAATCTCAACGATTAAGATTTAAATTATGTATTATGTATTATGTTATGTTTTAGTTTATACATTATGACTGATTAAATTGAAATCTATCTCAATTATATTTGCTTATGATGACTAATTTATTAGTTAAAGTTTTGCTGTAGTCTAATTTGAAAATAGTTGAAGCATTTATGAGTGTATACCTTAAGGCATTTACGTTTGTTCCATGTATTTTTAGTTGTTTATGATCGAGGGCGATCTGTTTGTCAGGTTGGCCGAACTGTTAGCGCCATTTAATTTGAATTTGAATTTCGCGCCTTATTATGATGGATGGCGTTGACAGCAGTGACATTGTTTTGAAATTCTTGACTTGACAGATGTCTAGAGAGAGAGAGGTTGATGAGAGGGGGGGTTCACGACACCCGGTTGTTAGAATTAGTAAAAATTATGTATTTTTGAGTGGAAAATAAATGCTGTTTTGTTCGAAATAAGTTTACCTTATTTTATGGAAAAGTGACCAGCCAGTGACCAGCCAGTGCCCAACAACACCATACCATGGACCAGAGCCCTACTGTGGCTTAATGAAAAGCCACATCATGGAAGAACTCAATCAATGGGAGAAAGACTAACTGTCATCATATTGAAGGCACACTCAGGGACTCAGACAGTCAAAAAGGTTTATTACCCTTTCAGCAAAAAGAGCTGAACAGCTCCTAAACATGAGCAGACCAGACATCAGATTGGTGGTGGGACTGCTCACAGGACACTGCCCAGTAAAATACCATTTAAGGTTAATGGGCAGAGCGGAAGACGATCTCTGCAGATTCTGCTCAGACGCAATAAAGACCGCAGAGCACCTGCTCTGCGAATGTCCAGCCCAATTCTGCAAGAGGCTCAAATTCCTCGAGGGGGCAACACTGTCACCAGAAGAAGTGGACCAACTGACACCCAGGAAAATAGCTTCCTTCGGCAGAAGTCTACGCTTCCTGGAGACAAATTAAGATGAAGAGTCACGCACAAAATATCTGCAAAGGTAGCAGTGCTGAGCGGCTGAAAAGCCGAAACGACTCCCCTGAAATCTACAAATCTAATCTCATCTTTTGCACTAAATTACCATATGCTCCTTTTTGCTTTCTGTACTTGAAAATTTCACAGGTACCAATGGTCCGAATGGTTTTGCTTCTCCTATCATTCCTCTTTTTTAAAAGTACATATGCAGCAATTGCGCGTCTTCGTCGCCAATGAAATAGGGCAACATGTTCATCCCCAATTATCAAAACCTTTTTTTCGATTTCCTACAACACAATATTTAATTAGAATAATTATTTTAAAAAACTACACAAACAAGTTTTTGAGGTTATAACCAAAGAAATCATATGTGAGTGTTGATTGTTGTCAACATGTCAACACAGAAATTGCGAAAATCGTATCTATATGAAAGGGCTAAAAAACGCCGATTTTTTTTTCAACGAAATTCGGATTCGCATCTATATGAACTCCGCTTTTGACTCCGTATCACATGAGGCCGTTTTCGGGAGCCTCCGATCCTTTGGACTACCACGGCCTGCGGTCGAGTATTTGAGGTAGTACTACTGCGACTCCTCCACCCACATCAAAGGCGAGGGCTGGACATCAGAGCCCATCAAACCTAAAGGAGGTGTCAAGCAAGGGGACCCGCTATCCCCTTTGCTATTCAACATAATGATTGATATGCTACTCAGAAAGCTTCCCAAAGAAACTAGGGCCACAATTGACACCACAAAGATCAATGTCCGCGCCTTCGCCGACGACCTTATACTGATGGCTTCTACTTCGGCTGGACTCCAAGACCTGCTCAATATCACTACGGACTATCTGGAGTAATGTGGGTTATTCCTAAACCCAGCCAAATGTACACTGCCTGCCAACATTATTATAGCACCTAAAAAATTCAAAACAACATTTCTGTAGCTAAATTTTTGCAGGTTAATCCACTTTTTTTATTAATGTGTAAACATGTTTTTTTATCTTAACTTTATTTTGAGTTCCATATCGCAGTTTGTTTATGTGTAATAAAAAATTATCAGTTTGGATACATTTCAGGTCAGTGTAAATTTTAACTTAAATAGTTAAACATTGATTTTGTTTTCATTAATTTTCCTTCGAACTTGAAAATGAATGTGCATGCTTGGGTTAGACACTCATTATCGCTAGAAAATTGTGTTAGGACGGTAACATTAATGGAGGAAGGTCGTAGAGAAAATGGGGATCATCAAAGAAGACCAGGTCAGGGTCGTAGACGCGTCAACAATGCCATCCAGGATCGCTATATGGTCCAACAAATTCTTCGAAACCGTACATTAACAGCTCCCGAGAATGTGGTTAGAAGGACCTATGGAATACAAGTAAGCTCAAATACCATAAGGAGACGCTTAAGGGAACGGAACCGACTTCAATTTGCGAGAATGCACGTTAATTAGGAACCGGCTGATTGGAGTCGAGTTTTGTTTTCTGACGAGACAAGATTTTCCCTGTACCATTCAGATAGACGAGTACTAGTTTACCGACGACCTGGACAACGGTAGGGGAGCCAGCCCAACAGTGAGACAGGTCCTACAGTGGGACACTGTCTCTCCCCTACTTATCACGCGACCGACTAGGTTTTCCGTTGGTGAGCAGAAACCTTACTTACCAACAAGTAATCTCCGCCAGTGTTGAACACGCTGCTGGCCGAGATGCACGCGCCGTTTATATTAATTTAATTTCCACGTGCGTAAGTAAATATTTTCAAGTTTTGGCAGTTCGTGTTTTCGGAAGTAAAAGAAAGTATTTTGGTGATCTGCCTAGGTTAAAGGTAAGTGTTTTTTATGTTGATTACAAGAGTGGGATCATTTTGTCTCTATATTTTTTTTTTTGTATAAGTGAGGTTACAAAATGTCTGCCGACTACACGTGCCCAACAGTGAGACAACCAACAGTGAGACAGTGTCTCACTGTTGGGCACTGTCTCACTGTTGGGCAAATGTGACCAAATATTTTTTTTTTAGGCTAATTATGGATCCAAAGAAAAGAAAAATTGGAAATTGCGCAGAGGAAACAATGAAAGAAGCAGTAAATCTGGTCAGAGAAGGAGGATCTTTGAGAAAAGTAGCTGCTTTGAAAGATATACCATTTCAGACATTGGCCAGATATGTCAAGAAAGCCAGAGACGTTGACGATATTAGTCAAATACGGATGAGTCCCAACTACAGTATTAATAAAGTATTTACGTCCGCAGAAGAAGATTCCCTAGAAAACTATATCATAAGCTGCTCACGCATGTTTTATGGGTTGTCTGTTGACGATTGTAGAAAACTTGCCTATGAAATGGCAATCGAAAATAAAAAGAAAATTCCTGCCAAATGGCATGAAAGAAAAATGGCAGGGCTGAAATGGATGAGAGGTTTTCGCCAAAGACATGTTCGACTGTCGCTTCGCACTCCCGAAGGATGTAGTTTATCCCGTGCGACGTCAATTAATAGACATAATGTCGCGATTTTTTACGAAAATTTGAAGAATATATTTTCAAGAACTGATGCGTTTGCTGACGGAAGAAGAATCTTTAATTTGGATGAGACCGCGACTACGACGGTTCAAAAATCAGCAAAGGTTGTTGCTGAGAAAGGGGTGAAGCAAGTTAGCAAGGTAACAAGCAAGGTGCATTGGTTACCACTTGTTGCATCATTAGTGCCACGGGCCAATACCTACCACCAGCAATGGTTTTTCCTAGGGTGCATCTAAAGGAGCATATGCTACGAGGCTCCCCATCAGGAACGTTGGGGCTTGCTGCTCCAAGTGGGTGGATGAATGCCGATCTTTTTTTAGAAGTGATGAAGCATTTTATAAAATATTCTAACAGCTCTAAAGAAAATCCATCGCTTTTAATCTATGACAATCATGAAAGTCATCTTAGTATTCGTGTTCTTAATTTGGCCAAAGACAACGGAGTAACAATTCTAACATTTCCTCCTCATTCCACAAATAAGATGCAACCACTAGATGTGGGGGTATTCAAAGCGTTCTCAACATGTCATAATGCATCTGTAGATACCTGGATGATGCAACATCCAGGTAAGCCTTTCACCATATTATGAGGTAGCTGAGTGCGTCGGCTTTGCTCATGAAAAATCTCTCACACCTAGCAATATTATAAATGCATTCAAAAAGTGTGGTATATATCCATACGATGCCAATGTCTTCACAGATATAGACTTTCTACCAAGCGCTGTTACCGATCGCGATTTAAAAGATGATGTAAGCCAAAAAAAGGCCATCGATCTACCAAGTACATCAACATCAACAAAGAAACTATCCGTGAGTGATAATATTCAAGAAAATATATCGGATATAGAAAATGATGGTACCTTAGACACCAGTATTGAAAATAGCAATCAACAGAACGATAAAAATGGCAAGACTGTCACAGATGTTTTTAAAAGCCCAGACGAATTTAAGGGGTTTCCAAAAGCAGGAGAACGCAAAACTAAAAATACGCGAAGAAAGGGCAAAAGTATTATAGCTACTGACACACCCGAAAAAGATGCCATAGAACAACGAAGCTTTACGAAGAAAAGAAAAATTGATAAAATCGAAGTGAAAAAAGTAGAAAAGGTCAAGAAACAAATATTTGAAGATAGTTCTGAAAGCTCGGAGGAGGAACTTGAACTTGGTTCATCCTCAGGGGATGACTGCTACTATACAATCAATCCAGATGGATTTGAGGAGCTTCATAGAAAGCCCATAGAAAATGATTTTGTGCTCGTGGAATTTCGTGGAAAATTGGAGAAGAAGAAGGTTATGTTGGAAAAGTCCTGAAAATAAATGAGTCAGAAGAGTATGAAATTTCGTATCTTAGAAAACAAACGAAGGGCACCAGCAAATTTGTATTTCCCAATATTCCAGATGAAGCTATTGTTGCTTTAAAAGATATCAAGCTCATCATGCCACCCCCAATTCCTTGTGGGCACACTAACCGACAGATGGCTTCTTTTACGTTTGAGATAGATTTTGGCTTAATGGACATTAGGTAGATACATACCTAGATAGTATATTATTATGTTTACTCATTTTTTTTATGTTCTGTATTTTTTTTTGTTTATTTTGGAAGTGTCTTTTGTGTTCGATAAATATGATTTATAAACTATGTTCGCAACAATCAGTATGTCAAAATTATCTTATGAGAATAATATATTAATCTCAATAATAATATCCTCAATATTTTTTTTCAAAACACAACAGCCTAAATAAGATTTTTTGACATGCTAGATTATATATTTTAATTTATTTTCCCTGTCTCACTGTTGGATTTAAAGTGTCTTACTGTAAGACATATGTGTCCTACAGTGAGACAAATACACCTATCTATATTCTTGCAAAAAAAAATATCAAACTTCAAAGTTACAAATATTTCACTTTAAGAGAGATTAATATAAATGTCAACGCGTATGCTGGCGTTTAATTTGTTCATTTTGGATGGATAAAAACAAAATTACACTAAAATTTTAAAAAAACCGTCTCACTGATGGGCTGGCTCCCCTACGCACAGTGCAACTTCGTTGAAAACATTCGTCATGGTGGTGGCAGTGTTATGTTTTTGGGGAGGCATCTCTTTGGGAGGACGTACGGACCTAGTGGCGCTTCGGGAGGGCAATGTTAATGCTGCCCGGTACATCGCTGACATTCTTGAACCTCACGTGGTGCCATATGCTGAAAACTTTGGTGCCGATTTCATTTTCATGGAAGACAATACACGGTCGCACACAGCTCGGGTGACACAAAATTTTCTTCGTGGTGAAAATATTGAGACTATGAATTGGCCAGCTAATAGTCCTGACTTAAACCCCATCGAGCATTTATGGGACATGATGGGTAGGCGCTTTAGAGCATTTCCGTATCCTCCGGCCGACCTTGACGGGCTCACTGTTGCCATTTCTGAGATTTTGAACGACATCGATCAAGCCGACATAAGGACACTTATTTTAAGCATAAGGGAACGGTGTGAAGCTGTCATACAAGCGAGGGGTGGAAACACTCGATATTTACTCTTTTTCATAGGTGTACTAAAATTTATTTTTTGGGATATTTGCTAATTTTTAAAAGGAGGTTTATTTTGTTATTTTTTTGCAATATAAAGGCGTATAATATGATAATTGGAGTTTTGTTATGTTTCTTACTCAAAACCAACCATATAATAAATCTTATTTCAAATTTTACTCGAAATTATTGGGTGATCTTATAATTTTGGCAGGCAGTGTATTTCCATAAGCATCAAAGGGCAGCCGAAGCAGAAATATACAAGAGTGGAGGAGAGACAGTTCAAGGTAGGCATTAGACACATGCCCTATCTCACCAGGGCGGACAGTTGGCAGGCAGTGTATTTCCGTAAGCATCAAAGGGCAGCCGAAGCAGAAATATACAAGAGTGGAGGAGAGACAGTTCAAGGTAGGCATTAGACACATGCCCTATCTCACCAGGGCGGACAGTTGGAGATATCTCGGTATCGACTTCAGTCCGACCGGACGTGTCAAATATTATCCAAGCGCTGACATAAGCCCACTCCTGGATAGGCTATCGGCAGCCCTACTCAAGCCACAACAAGTGAGAGTGTAAGTCATTCCTAAACTCTACCACAAACTGGCACTAGCCAACGAAACCTTCCACGGCATTTTTACATGCTAGCAACGAAAGCGGCGGACTTGCGATCCTGTTGCTTAGATGGGGTGCCCCAATGATCAGAAGGGGCAAGCTGCCTAACCTTCAGCAGCCGTTGCTCGATGGCAACTACATGACTTACTACTTTCTGGCAGCTGAATTGGACAGAGTAGAAAAACGGCTTGAATGCAATAATGTAAACCTGAGATCCACAGAAGACATAAACAAAATGTGGAAAACGAAATTGAGTGGCATGGTGGATAGACATGGCCTGAGGGAAGCCGCCAAGGTACCGAGGGCACATAGATGGATTAGGGAGCCGACCCAGCTTTTATCTGGGAAGGACTTCATCAACTGCATTAAAACAAGAATCAATGCCCTACATTATCTAGGACTACTAGAGGTAGGCCAGAACTAAACCGCTCGTGCAGAGCTGGATGCCAAGGATCGGAAACACTGAACCACGTCCTCCAGCAATGCCCGAGACCACACGGTCCACGAATCAAGAGACACGACGCCTTGGCGGCCTACCTGAGGAGGAATTCGAACATTTTTTTTTTTTAGATGAAACCTGGGTATTTGCCAAAGGCACAGTAAAATATGCTTGGCAGGATGAAAATCCGAAGGCGGTGCGAAAGCGGCAGCTTATTGATGGAAAACGCCTCATCATCCTGCATACGGGCCATGAAGGCTGCTTTGTTGAGAACGCGTCGCTCATCTAGTCGGAACTAAGTCGAAACTTGCGCACTACCACGGCAACATGAATGGTGATTTGTTCCTACAGTGGGTTCAAGAGAAGCTTGTTCCTAATTTGGAGGAGTCATCCTTTATTGTTATGAACAATACCAGTTATCACAACGTGGTAGTGGAGGCCCACCCCACAAGTGCGTGGACCAAACGACACATTCAAGAATAGCTTAGAGCTCATAACGTCGCCTATGAGGCTGACATGTTTAAACCTGAGCTACTCCCTGGTAAGAGTACACGGACCCACTTTTAAGAACACGGAGACGATGTTTTACGCCTTCCGCCTTACCATTGCCATTTCAACGCAATCGAGCTGACGTAGGCATTCTTTTATCCAATGTTTTGATGTATAGTCTTTACTAAAATAATAAAAAAAATTGTAGGCCAAGTAGTGTAGACCTCTGTAGACTTAGCCTCCCCAAATTAAAATTTTTGACTTTTTTTACTCACAATCGTTTGATAATCGATTGATAGTGATTGATAGTCTTGAGAGATCGTTTGATAGCGATTTTTTTTAGAGTTATCATCAATTCTTTTTTATGTGTATTGTCAGCCTCCCCACTTTGTCAAAAATCCTTTTTGTTTTTTTTTTTTTAATGATTCATCACGACTGTGCGTGGTTTGATAGTTTAATATCAACGTTTGATGTTGGTCTTGAATCATCATTCATTATTAGTATCAAGGTAATTTCTAATAATTGCATTTTTGTCTACATTTAATCATTTATAGGGGGAGCTCGAGAGACCGTTGCCAAAGCTATCGTAATGAGTGCTAGTCTTTGTATGTTGACATTTTAGACGAAAAAAGCTAATCCAAACTAACCCGTCCTCATAATAAGTGTTAGTCTTTGCATGGTGGTATTTTGGACGAAAAGAGCTACTCGTCCATATAATGAGTGCTAGCCTTTGTATTCTTGTATTTTGGATGGAAAGAGCTAATCCAAACTAACTCGTTCCTCGTAATAAATGGTAGTCTTTGGATGTTGGTGTTGGTATTTTAGACGAAAGAAGCTATTCCGAACTAACCCAAACTAACCCGTCCTCGTAATGAATGCTAGTCTTTAAATGTTGGTATTTTAGACGAAAAAAACTAATCCAAACTAACCCGCCCTCTTGATAATCTTTAAAAAAAATAAAAACCGTAAAAAAAAAAATAAAATAAAAATGTATTGCCTTTAAAAAGAACAACTGACAAAGTGAGGGGGCTAACAACATTCAAAAAAAATTGTTTCATAAAAAATAAAGGAAGACTAATCTATCAAAATATATTTCATATTCTAATGTTTCGCACAGCCCTAGATCGGCAATAATTACCCAGCTCAATGTTCGAACCGGTTCGCGCCGAAAAACATTAGCATCTGACTAGCTGTACTAATTTATGTGTGTTATTCAGCAAAATATTAATCCTTTTGATACTGATATCGATAAAAAATTGTTGTATAATATAGCTACTGGAAGAGCCGCCGATGGGGTGTGGCAGAGTTTTCACCCACAACTGAGGAAAATTGTGATAAACAATAGACAGATTTCAGTGCAGAATGTGTGTCAAACCCGAACCGGTTCGAGTTGCCATAAGAAAGAAATAAAATTTTCGACTTCCATAAATAAGAAGAAAAAAATTAAAATTGCGAGGAAATTTTAGGAAATGGAAATTGCACAGGGGTTTATTTGGATGAATGGTGGCATTAATGATGAAGCAAAATATCGATATAAAAAAATATATATTATCTTTTCCGATTACTCCTATCCCGACGTCCTTATGCCACTTAAATGGCAAAAGATATAAAACAGACAAATCTGACTCGACAAACATCTGCAATCAAAATTCGTTAACCAACAGCCACACGAATAAGTTTCGATGTCGTTATCATCGATGATTTTTTTATCCTACATATCTATCATGAGAGATGTACTAAAGATGACAACACGGTTTAATGCCCCAGGGATCGACATAATGTTTGATGGTTATTTCATCCCATCAATTAAAGATAACGAACGTTCACGAAAAAAATGAACATGAAATTGGTTACGTGATTTCGCCCCGGGTCAAATACGACAAATTGATTTTACCACTGCATTACGAAATAGTAATTTCAAAAAAGAAAATGTGCTGATCCGAGCTTGTGATGCATAGGCGCTAATTATTATGTTGGAAATATGGATCATCTAACAGCCTCATTACAAATTTGGATGCAATTGGGCGTTGGCAATAAATGTATGATATATCGATATTACCATGTTGCGCGACGATCTCGGAAATCGCTTGGCAAATGCACTATCTGGGTGCCATTGCTTGCCACGTTGGTAAACCGAATTTGAATTCTATCGAGTTGGTACGGTACGAGATGTTTGAGAAAGCATACAAACCTCAAAGCTCTCAAGACTTATCTCAGAAAC